CAGTTTAGTGACCGTAAGACCGCTACTGCCGCGCTATTATATTCTCCTAACAGCTGACGAATATTGTCAACAAACATAACCCCAACTTTCATTCTCTAGTATATTTTTGTATAACCTTAAACATGTCACGTTTCGAGCCTACTAACTATGATTTGCGGACAGCATTGATTTTCTGTTATCATTTAAAGAAAACTGCTGCAGAATCACATCGAATGCTTGTCGAAGCTTACGGTGAATATGCTCTTGGTAAATCTCAGTGTTTCGAGTGGTTTAAAAAATTCAAAAGTGGTGATTTTGACGTGAGGAACGAAGAACTATGAACTATGAACTATGAACTATGAACTGCTGAAACCTGGTCAAACCGTCAATACTAATCGCTACCAACAACAAATGATCGATTTAAATCGAACATTGACTAAAAAACGACCAGAATATGCAAAAAGGCAACACAATGTCATTTTGCTCCATGATAATGCCCCATCACATACAGCAAAACGGGTCAAGGAAACGATCGAGTCGTTCAGTTGGGAATTACTACCGCATGCGGCTTATTCTCCAGACTTGGCTCCGTCCGATTATCACCTGTTCGCATCGCTAGGACACGCTCTCGCTAACCAACGCTTCGATTCGTATGAAAATGTGGAAAAATGGCTAGATAACTGGTTCGCTTCAAAAGATGAAAAGTTTTTTTGGCACGGCATTCATAAACTGCCAGAGAGGTGGGAAAAATGTGTTCAAAACAGTGGAAATTATTTTGAATAAAGTATTATTTATCACTTTCGAACAACAGACGTCTTATTTGTATAAAAAAATTCCGGTTTCATACTTCTACACCTGGTATTATATAAATATTATTATATAATTATATTATATATTATATATTATATATAAATTTATATATTATAAGTTTATATATTATTTGTATACATTATTATATACATCATCATATATACATGTATGATATACATTATTTATATACATTATTATATATTATTTATATACATCGTCGATATTAATAGCATGTTCGACTGGCTCTGGGTTAACCCTCTCTGGGTTATTCAACCTATGTTTATTGGTCGAACAAGTACTTATAAGCTTTATGATTGGTTAGTAGAGACTTATGACGTCATTAATCGCTCTCGGAGCGATTAACCCGGGGCTAGTCAAACACGCTATATGATTATCTAATAGAAAATTACTATTACTAATAGAAAGTTACTAGTACGCGTATCAAGTACACGATGTAAATCAAGCCATTATCGGTAATTATTTAGTTTAACCCCCACCTCCGATTTCGATTAAAGTAGGCTCAATCGACACGTTTTTGCACGAGAAACAACTTTTTTATCTAACAAAATCATTGCTCTCTACTGCGAAATATTAGCCGACAAATTTGACCACTATTAAGATTAGGAAAACTCACACCGACAATAAACAGCAAGATGTATATGCTCCGTAGTAGAGATGCCCGATTCTGAATCGATTCGATTCTTTCCCCAAAAATAGGCTTATTCGTGTTGTTTGCATTCTTTGCACTTTTCGTATTTAAAACTAGACAAAAGTATATTGGAATATTTTGAAGAAGCAAAAACGAGACAACCAACTCGATTGTTTCTTCCAAGCGTCTGATTAGTTGTCCATCTCTTTTTAAAAGCGAAAAGTATGAAGCATGCAAGCAGCACGAACAACTCTTTTTCCCTAAATTTGTTAGGGAAAGAATCGAATCGATTAATGGCTTCTGCACACAGGACGCGGTAATGCTTGCCGCGCAGCGGAAGTTCGCGCGACAGCCAATCAATATGCTGTTTTTCCGTAAGAGCTAGAAGATTATTACAGAAAACAGCATATTGATTGGCTGTCACGCGAATTTCTGCCGCGCGGCAAGAATTA